GGGGTCGAGTTTTTACCCCGCCAAACTCTGTCATTTCGGGTCTTCCAAATTGAGCACAATATGTGAAACACTAATGCTTGATCCCTCTGGTTGAAGAGGTTGAAAATCTTTTCTAGCCAAGCGATGAAACCGTTGACATGGGGCGTGTACCAGCCCAAGATAGAGGTTGTCCACACCTGTCGTGCAAAGCTGCAAGAAACAAAGAGATGCAACACCGTCTCCTCGGAGCATTGGCACAACGGGCATATATTTTGAATCGGCATCCCTTTACGTGCAAGATTATCTAGCACCGGCATTATGTTATTTGCAGCCGGCCAGATGAGATTACGAATAGTAGGTGTGGTGTGGACTTGCCAGAGTTTCCTCCACACTGATTTCGAGCTGCTGTCATTGACCACACTCTCATCCCATGTTAGCATACGATATGCACTCTTAACCGAATACAGACCTGACTTATTATTATTATTATTATTATTATTATTATTATTATTATTATTATTATTATTATTATTATTATTATTATTATTATTATTATTACTACTACTACTACTACTACTACTATTATTACTACTATTATTACTACTACTACTACTACTACTATTATTATTATTATTATTATTATTATTATTATTATTATTATTATTATTATTATTATTATTATTATTATTATTATTATTATTATTATTATTATTACTACTACTACTACTATTATTATAACAACAATCACATCATCAACATTAATTACAATAATAAAAGGTAAACTTCCATTCACCTATCTAGGAAGTCCCATTACGGTTTCTAGATTGAAGATTGTTGATTGTGAAAGGCTTGTTACCAAACCCAAAACATATGCGAAAACTTTCTTTGTAGTGGCACCCATGTATGTAGATATGAAAACCCCTCTGGTTTGCCGGTGGGTGTTGCACAGTTGGTAAGGCAAGGAGTGCCAAGAAAATAAGATTCAAGTTCGATTCCTGACAACTGCGCTGAGAGACAATTATGCTAAGCATAGGGCTTCTGCAAGTACCAGGTGCAGCATCCACTTTTTACCACTAATCTGCGATTAAAGTCCAATTTACCCCCTTTCAATGACCGTCCGACCAGGTCTGAGGGGGCCCTCGGGGATGGGGCTCATCCTTACGAAAACCCCTCTGGTGCAATGAGAGGTTATCTATTCTCCAAAAAAGAGTGGGGGCATGGGTTTAAAATGGAGTTAAATTGGGATATTGCTAAGAATAAAAATCCCCTTTGGATGAAATGGATACATATCAGATACATTCAATCTCATTCCTTTTGGGACTATATCCGCAAGCTGGACTTGTGTCATTACTTGAGACCGATGATTAAGGCGGGGGAGAATTTTCGAGGCATGGCAATATAGAATACGACCTCTAACTTATGATCGGCAACTTTTTTGGGTGACTGTCCAAACCACAACAATTGCATAGCAAATGGTGAAGAACCCATAAGCTCTTATATCTAAGGAGGTAAATGGTGATGATAATGACCCCTAGAAACTCAAAACTCACAAAAAAAATTGCTAGTTACCCTTATATTGTAGGATACACGATGACCGTTCATGCCATGAAGATTCAAATTATTTGAAAATCAAAGCAAAACAGGCAAACTTCCCATATTAATGAAAGCCATGGACCAAAAGCGGGAGATTTGTTGTTATAATACTTGCGAGTCATAAGAACGACATCACCTTTCGAATCCCTATTCCAAAAATTAAAAGCAATCCTTCGGGGAAGGTGAAGATCAAGGAACAGTGATCAAACCAAACATAAGCAAGAACAAACAATTCCCAAGCTATAACAGATGATAAACAAGACAACAACAACAACACACATTGCTTATTCCATTATGGCATTATTACAACTCCTAACTTTCTACTAGTATTAAACACGCAACAACCTAGATACAACGTCAATTGCGTTTTCGTCGAAAAGTTTTTAAGAATACCTTTTCACATGACATTACATGTATAATTAACACACAAACATTGAAACAAAACAACTCCATATCTAATGAAGCAAGCTAACATGGCAAGAAAGACAAGTCCTACTAACCTCAAGTGACATAAACAACATAGGGAAGCTTCTTCTCGTCGAAAGGCAAGCTCACGTAGTCCCCTGCAAATTCCTCTGCAATCTCAAACGGAAGCTCCCCGTGAAATGCTTTGCAGTACATGAACAGCACCACAGTTGCAGCAATGCCCTGAAGCATGAGGACTGTGGCAAGACCAGCACTGATCACCACCTGTAATATGACTGCCCAGCCCCACCATCCGCGGGCAACCCCAACGTGGAGCAAGATTGTCGCGCAACTGCCAACCAGGAACCAGATCGCGAGGTTGAAGAACAGCAACAATGACAGTGCTACCCCTTTCATCCCCTTCACCAGATTCGCGCTTCTCATCAGCGGCCCGAACCCCCATCTTGATTCAACCACCACTGTCACTGGAGCAAGAACCCAGATGACTTGTAGCCATAGCATTACAGCTCCAACCAGAGCTGCGGAGACGATGGCCACTGCATAGAAGTAATTCGAGTCGTAATCCACTTCGATTCCTGCCAATTCGAGCCCTTTTAAAGCAGAGAGCCATAGAAGCGAGAAGAGGAAAGCGATTGAAAAAAGGATGAGTTTGGAGACTAGGAAGGTGGAAATCATGGGCAAGAAAGAGAACAGGAGTGATTTGAAAGAAGAAACCAGCTTCACCGGTCTACCGTAGAAGCCGTGGAACGTGCTGTAGGAGATCGCGGACACGGCGAACAGGTGAACGAGGAAACCGAACAGGGCGTAGACCAGGGGCAGGATGAAGAAGACCGGGGAATCGCCATCCGGGTCGGGGCGGGTTCGGGTCGGGTCGGATTGGAGGAATCTGCTGGCGTAGAAGGAGATGGAGTCCGGGCGACAGAGAGCGGAGTGGAGAGTGGGGTAGATGATGAGGGAGAAGGAGAGGGGCAGGAGGAAGAAGACGGATAGGGCTAGGAAATGGCGGGAGTGGGCGTTGATTATGCGCCTGGACTCGGATAGGACTCCGCAGAAGGTGAGGGCGTGAGAGTGGGGAAGAAGATCGGCCATGGACGGCGGCGGGAACGGCGGCGGCGTTGCTTCTGAAAGCTGGAATTTTGGGCTTAGGGTCTCTGGTTTTGGGATTTGATCGATCCAAGAGAAGACTGGTCAAGTTTTTATTTTCTTTCTTTTTGAAGAAGACGACTAGACTTTTTAATGGCGATTTTGCCCCCCACCATATCCTATTTTAAAAACATAGACTCCGTACCAATTACCATAAACAATAATATGAGTGAAAAAGGTACGACGCGTATGAGGTGTTTGTTGAATGAAAGAGGTCTACTCTTTCCCGTCCATAAATAAAATTTCTATATTCTATTCCGTGTTACAATGTTGGGTTGAAATTACTTTTAAATAATCATATATGAAAAATGCTATACATTTAAAAAATTATATATTTAAAAACTACATTAAATGTTTTACTAAACAGGAGGTGACATGACTATATTATTTTTATCAAATAAGACGTGAAAATATGTCAACAAAATAAATAGAGTTTGATCTCGTGAATAGTGAACGAAAACTTTATTATTGGTCGGAGGAAGTATTTACATATATTCCGTAATTTTTAAAAGAATTACCATAATGGGGTGATTAAAGTCATGCTCTTTTCAACTTATTTTCTTTTTATTTATTATTTATTCTTATTTAAATCAGATATATCTGAAATAATTTTAAATATAACTACATTCAGTTCAGACCAACATTTATTTCAATCAGATCGGAATCAATCAGATCAAATGAAAAGAACATGGTCTAAGCCTTTGTTCAATTTGGTTGTAGAAACAGAATTGAATATTAAAATAAATGGGAAGAATTGGAAAAAAAATGAAAGCAAATTAGAAAAAACTATAAGAAATTATAAAATATTGGGAAAAATAAATTTTAATATAATCACTCAATTAAATATTTATCCAAATAAATATTCAAAAAAAATAATTTTAGATAAAAATAAGAATTAATCTTTATCCGCGTGTGAGGTGGCATGCTATAAATTTAGATATATGATTTTATTGTATATATTCGTCATATGTAAAAACTTTTTTAGTCATTGTTCGGAAAAATTAGAAAAAATTAGAAGAAACTGAAAGAAATTGAAAAAAGTTAAAAATAACTTTTCTAATCCAAATAAACAGGCCCCGGATTTGAAATTGAATACTCTCGTCGTCCTAATTTATTTGTCTTAGTTTGACTTTTAATTGATACATTTTGATCATAAATTATGAAAAAAGATTCAATTATAATATTAAATTAATATAAAGTATTATTGACTTCGTATTAAGTAACAATTATCAAGTTATGATATATCAAATTAGAATAAATAAAACAAACTAAATTATGAGTAATACAAAAAAAGAAGTTAAAATAGGAACTCCATATTTATATTAAAAAAAGGTTAGATGGGAACATTATACCAAAAAAACTATAAAAAATCAATATTCAGTGTTCAAATTATTAGTGTACTAGTATTTTCACCCGTGCAACGCACGGGGTCGACGAAATTTTTGTCGATTCTGATTTTTTTTTAATGCAATATATTTTCCGGATCAAGTAAATATATTTCTAACACGATTTTTTATCATTGGACAAAAACACCAAGGTAGAATATAATAAATATATAATATTTGAGGAATTGAAAATGTACTCAAAAATGTCTTTTTTAATTCCAAACTTGTTGGCACGAAGAATAAGAATTTAAGTATTACTTTTCATCTCATGGAATAAAGGATAAGACAAAATCATTTACCATTCAACAACCTCAAACACTGGTGTCAATAGTGCACTATCTTCAAAAAAAGAATATAATAGTTTTTTATGTTCTCCAATAAGTTCGGATAAGTGAAGTTCACTATATTCTTGAGGAATAACTTGTGTTAAGAATCAAGATCTTTAACTATTAAAGCACCAACTTCATGTATTATGGAGATATTATAATTTCTTGAGTCTCTAGTTTTACTTGTCAACAATCTCAATGATAAATTAGAAGTAGGCTCATTATATATATATGAAGTCTTACTTCTCAACAGCCTCAATGATACATTAGAAGTAGGCTCATTATCCATGAAGTCTTTAGTTCTTCTAAATATCTGTGTTAAAACATTATGCTCATATACCATAATTTTCAAATAGAACAATTTGTTTTTATTAGCATGTTAATAATGTTCCATGTGTATTATATTGTCAAACACATGTAAATAATACTTTTATTAAAAGGGTATACTCAATAAAGTATTCGAGATACTTAAAATGAGTTATTTGTTTTCATATCTCATTCTGTATACCATAAACATATAATTGTGTAAATTTTGGTCTTTCACCATATTGTGACATTAAACATGGTATGTGATGATAAATGTGTCCGCTGAGAGTACATTATTGTTCAATCATTATTGTGAGATGTATCAATATTTCCATTTATAAATGTTAATGAAAACATACAGTTATATTTATTTAAATTTTTCATGGTAATGAGAACTTTTCACACCAAGACCATAAAATAAATTATAGAGCGCGCAAATCAGATGGTTTTCCTTAGAAGAGACAATTAAACTTTTTCTTTTATGCAATAAATTGAAAACTTTAGATGTTTTGAATCTTTATTCATTTGATTCTTTTTCTTCATAGTTCATGTCATAACAAAGTTTCCCGAAATTCACACATAAATGCAAGATTCCCAAAATAGATTGTCTCTGAAGGAAAAATAAAATATGATGTAGGCAGTCTTATATATAAAAAATCAATATTCATTGTTGAAATTATTAGTGTATAAGATATTAAAAATATAAAATTCTTATTTTAATTTTTTTTTAATGTTTGAATTATACCAAAATAAAAGTCTCATATAATTCAGTTTTAACTAATTATTTCGGATTCAATTAAAAAAATCATTTTCCCAAATTCACTCTGGTGCGAAGCTTCTTGAGCTTTCACCACGAGATGACTACATCCCTCGCCGGCTGTTCCCCGTGATTCACCTTCCGACCCCACATGGTACCCACCATCTATAGACGCCTCTCACGCCTTCTCTGATTCTTGGCCCGCCGTTTACACTTCCCGTAATATACCTTTCCCGTTTTACCGGAATTACCGGATCCAGGTCATATTTGGGTATTTTTTTCGTGCGATTCGTCCTCCAGGTTTGCTTGAATTGATGATCTTTAAAGGTTAGTGCGTCTATTAGAAGATGAAGCTGTAGCTATCGAGCATAAAGATCACTCCTTTTCCGCCTCGATTCTATTTGATATCTGTTCATTGTTAGTTGATTAAAGAATGGATTTTTCCGGCGGATTAAGTCCCAGAACCAGTCCGGCGGCCAGGGAAAAGCCCAAAAACGTCGGCGCAGATGTCCAAATTGTTGGGATTGAGCTAACTGGCAATGGGTCGCTGTCGGATCACGGTTTCCATCCCATGAATGCGCTTGAAATCCTGAGGGAAACCGTGTGGGTTCTCAGGTACAATTCTGTAGGGTTCTTGTCGATTGCGTCCGTATTGATTTGTCCTGTGTCTGCTGTTGCTTTGTCGAATGTATTGGTCGATCAGTCCGTTGTGAAGCTTCTGACAGTGAGGCTTTTGCTCATTGCCAAGTCTAGCGGCCTTTCGCTGAGGCCTTTTGTGAGACAGTCAGTTCAGAAGTTTTCGGAAATGGTGGTTTCGAGCTCAGTTTGTTTCCCCATGTACGTTTCTTTACTGCTATTGTCAAAAGCTGCAATTGTTTACTCTGTGGATTGCACTTATTCGAAAAGAAAGTTCAGCCCTTTGAAGTTTTATGTGATAATCACCAAGATTTGGAAGAAGATTGTCGTGACGTACTTGTGGGCATGTTGTTTGGTTTCTGGATGCCTCACCCTCTTCCTTGTACTTCTTGTATCAGTTTGCACCACCTTCTCTATCATGGGGTTCCCCTCAGACTTGATCTTGTACCCTGCAATGATAGTTGGGATGATCTTCTCAATAATCTTGGCGAATTGCACAATTATTTGCAGTGTCGCAGTTGTGATTTCTGTTTTGGAGGACGTGTCGGGCCCACAGGCGTTGCTCCGGTCCAGCTCACTCATCAAGGGGCAGACCCAAGTCGGCCTCCTTATATTTCTAGGGTCGACGATTGGGATGGCCTTTGCGGAGGGTCTCTTTGAGCACAGAGTGAAGTCTTTGAGCTACGGGGATGGATCCTCTAGGGTATGGGAAGGGCCTCTTTTGGTGATCATCTACTCCTTTGTTTTGCTAATTGATTCCATGATGAGTACCGTTTTCTACTTCAGCTGCAAATCGTATAGAATGGAACGAGCAAACGAGGAGAGTGAACCGGTTCTTGAAGCCCTGACCAATCCATAGGCGTTCGTGGAAACCATGTCTTGGGAGTTTGTTTTCAAATTGAGGCGCCGTTTGGCAGTGTGGAATTATGAGATTCCAACCCAACCCCATTTGACAATGATAAGAGTAACTCGTATTCTTATATGTTAGTCTTTTTTACCCATGTTGTTCGACGTGAGATCATATCCTCGACTCCTGCTCGCGGTAGCTTTTGGTTGAAATGAATGTTACGAAACGTTTTCCCCCCCTTAAAAAACAGTCATTTCAGCCAATTGAGTGCATTATGAAAGCTGTTTAGCTTCTGTTCAAGAATGGACAGCATAGATTATGGTCTCTAGTTTGGTAAGACATAACCAAATGTATGTGTAATGTACATTTACACTAAGAATATGTTGGATCACAATGCATGCTATCATGGTCTGCCAAACAATGCCTATGCATGTGTTAATCTTTATTCTTGGGTTATTTTTTCCTTCATTTTATGGAGATTTCATAAATGAAATGGAAAACGGCTCTCTCTTAATGTTGCACAACTTGTTTATTTGTTGGACACATGTTTCTGTTTGAATGTTTTACCTAATTAACCCTCTCTTACAAATTCGGTCCTAAGATGATCTTCCCATCTTGGTGTAGGAGGTTTGACTGAAATTATTTTCAATTCAATTTATTTGATTATAAGTGTAAAATTTAAAAATAAAAGTTATATATTTTAAAACTACATCAAAAATTCTACAAAACAAGAGGTGACATGATTATATTATTTTATAAAATAAGTAACAAAAATAGATAAAGAAAATGAATAAAGTTTGACCATAAGAATAGTAATTGAGAAAATCATTTAAGGACAGAGGGAGTACTTCTTATTTCATTTTTGAGTTGTCCAAAATTAATTTTTTCTGCATCACTTTCGATCATAGTTTTAAAAATCAGACCCGACTGGCCGGTTCGGACCGTGACACGGTAGTCCAACCGGTCGGCTCTAGCCGTTTAGACCGTGATCTGCTTCCTGAAACGGTAAGAATTGGTCAAACCAGTTTTTTTTTTTTGTGATTTTTTGTGATTTTTTCCAAAAGCATAGGGGGTTTGAACTCCTGATTGCTTAGATATTTAGTTAATTTCGTAACCTTAAAAACTAAGATGATTTTTGTTACAAATTCACTTAATTATTTACGAGTATAATATTTCATAATTAAAAAAAAGATTGTGTAAAGATTCCTTTTAGTCTTAAAAATATAATTGATATAATTGATACTATTACAAAGGCCTATCATGCAAATATTTCATTTGAGTGTTTTTTAATATTAGACAACTTATTTGAAAAAAATAAAATCACCTCTTCATTTATAAAATTTTTTATATTGTTTTTTAAATACGTAAATTTTATTTTTCAACTTAATAAAATAACTCAAGTATATTTGATGGTGTAAATTACCTAATCGGGTAAACTATTCTAGACCGGGTCTAGGATTGTTTACTTGATTCGGAAAGTAAAAAGGTAAAAACACGCCAATATGACCGGGAGGACTTTAGGTGGAAACACATGTAGCCCAATTAATATTATAACAGAGAATGCACGGGAGCTTTTACAAGGGAGTTTTGAGAGAATGAATTCGGATCCCTCATTCTGAGGATTACAGCAGTATTTATACTAAGTTTGAGGGGGACAAGACGTCGTGCACCCACGTGGAGGCACGTTCTCGGATGGTGGGAGGTGATGGCCTTCGTCCTTCAGCTGCCTCGTCGCCTAGTGAGGAAGATTATTCCCTCGTCACGTAGTGCCTTGGATGGAATGTTCGGAATGGAATCTCCGCTTGATCTTGGTCGCTACGGTCCAAACCACTTTGGATTCTTCTCTGCCGACATTCTCCAAACCCAAAAACCGTACTGGGTAGTTCCTAAGGGATGGATTAGCTGAGATTGAGGGATGAATTAGGCGTTGAAGTTGTGTGACTGGTATACTATCCTAAGTATACCGGTCAACTTTCTGATCAACCAGTCATCCTTTTACCGACGATTTAATTCTCTCTTTCAGGAACAACCCCTTTGACCGGTCAAATATTTGGACGCTACGTTTGACCGGTCTGGGTGGAATACACCCATCAATAATCCCTCCACTTCTCAGCCATGTGAATGTCATGGGCGAGAAGTAAATGTCTGAGAAATGGTCCTGAAAATTCGAATTTTAGGCCTTTCCCGCTAAATATTTCCCATTTCAAATTTGAAAAGTATCCGTTATAACACGTGTCGCTCGCCGCAAGATGCCGTCACTGCGCCTTTTCGTATTCCCAAGCGAAATGATGGCGCCGCCTAACACGGCGTATCCTGCTGAAGCCACGTCGCCTCTCTCACAACTTTCCTCGCCTATATAAAGGCCTCCACCCCATTCTTTCCTTCACTTTCTCGCGTGCGCGTCTTCTGAGTTTCACCGGTCAAGCTCTTCGCTCTAGCCTTCCAGCCCTCTGAGCCAAGTAAGCTCCCTCTTTTCTTCATTTAGCTTTTCTTTTTGTTCTTCGATTTCTTTCCGGTCAATTTCTTCCCTAGGTAGTCATAGGATCTCGTCCTCAGATGACTCTTCATCTGAGGATTCCACCTCCTCTTCTTTCACCGGGTACTATTCTTCTGATTTCAAACCCAGACGGGTTCCCATCCTTCTGTTCCTGAGCCGGAGCCGGTCAATCAGATGCCCGGTCAAGTGTTTATGGAGGGGGACGAACCGGTTGATGGCCAACCAGCTCCCTATGATCCGGACACCGAGTCCTGGCTGCAGTGGGAGGAAAGGTTGGAAGCAGCAGGTTACTCTCCTCTTCCCACTTTTTACGTTTCAGACATCTACCCCCACGTTTCCAAAATAGCTTTGAACAAAGCCCGTAGGAATCTCCCGGAGGGGTATGTTCTCGAGTACGATGAGAACTGGCCCAATATTATCGAACCTCACCGGGAGGATATGATAGGTTTTCATATCACTTCTTTAGAGGGTGGCATCCTTTTCCCTCTTCGCCCCCTCTTGGTCGAGCTGTGCTACTTCTTTAGGATTCTTCCCGGGCAGATTACACCCAATGCTCACCGATTGCTCAATTCTTTTGTTAATATTTGCCACCATCTTCACATCGATCCTTCTCTGCGTCTCTTCCTCTATGTCTTTGAGGTCCGCCCCGGGAAATCGGGCTGCGAAGGTTTCGTTTACTTCAAGGGGTGAAGCAATTGTAAATTCATCTCCGACCTTTCACAGAGCAACCGGTTGTGGAAGGAAAAGTTCGTTTTTATAAGATTCCCTCCCTCCGTTACTCCTCTAGCCGGTTTGAGGTGGAGCGAAAACCTCCTCAAACAAGAATACACCGAACCGGTACCTACTCCGGATCTGGAGGAGAGTTTGGAGAAGCTTCTAAGGAGGGATCCCTTCACCGGGCAAAAATACCACTATGGTAGCTGGGTATGGAGGGTCCAACCGAGTGGCGAGGGTACCTCCCAAGCCCATGAAGCAGCGGGGCACGGGGTACCCTCCCCGGGCGACACTGCGGAGGCTTGGGGCCAAAGTCACCCAGGTATTCTTCATTCCTTTTCATCTTTCTTCGGTTGTACCGGTGTGATTCGCAGTACTCACATTTTTTGCTTGTTTTGCAGACATGAACTTCAGATCCTTTGATATCCCCAAGAAGACCGGTGCGTCGTCTTCTGCAGGCCCGCACACCTCTTCTGCGAAGACTGTCCCGGTCCAACAGGAGACTGTTGAGATTCACTCTGAGGAGGAAACTCCTCAGATCGGGGAGGCCATCCAGACCAGGAAGACCACGACGAATCCTCCCCATAACAAAGGGAAGGGGAAGACCCGGACGAAGAAGGCGGCCACCACCCATCCATCAGCGAAGAGGAAGAGGGAGGAGGACGTCCCGGTCACCCAGTCACTGGAAGAGCTCTGTGTGAAAATGGGGCTCAAGCTGAAAGAGGTAAAACCTTCCCGGTACAATTTCCTGAACTCACCATTCGTCTATTTGCATTAACCCGTATGCTCCTGTCTCGCAGATGGGCGAGGTCGGGCGTGACACTCTAGAGGAGCTTGCCGAGGGTTCTCCCTCCCGATCATCCCTGCTGGAGGAAAAGTTGAAGAGGGCCGAAGCCCATAACCGGGAGCTCTAGGATTTGACGGCTCGGCAGCTCGAAGAGATGGCCAACCTTTGAAGGGTGGCCGGGAAGGCGAACGTGGAGGTTCTCCAGCTGAAGGAAGAGAACACACAGCTGATGGGGGAGGTCTCCCTGCTGAAAGAAGATGCTGAGCTGAAGGAGCGAGAGTTCCCCGGTAGAGCGCGTCAGTGGATGGGGGAAAACCTGGTAGAGGCTGCCCGGGTGCTCACCTCCACTCCCGAAAGGACAATGGAGGGCTTCCAGCTACTCTACCGGGAGGAGCGCGGAAAGGAGATGATCACAGCCATCGGCTCCTTTGGCTTCATGTCAGGCCAAAAAAGAGACCGGGAGGCCACGCACGAAATCCTGACTGACGCGGCCCAAACTTCACTGCCGAATCTTATGGCCAGGCCTCCATTCCCGAAGAAGAGTCTGCTCCTCCTTTCCCCCTAGAGTAGATCCCCCCGGCTTTTTGACGGTGTAAATTATGGTGTAAATTATCGACCGGTATATCGTTTTTAGCCGGGCAAAAACGATAAACTAGTCTAAAAAATACACCAAAATATAAACACAGGAATTTTGACGTGGAAACCCAAATCGGGAGAAAACCACATGCCTTTTTTGGCGGTACTTTGCCAACGGAGGATTTTTATTAATATCGGGGATATGTACATGGTACATGAATTAGGCTAGAAAGCCATTAATGGAGCTTTTGAGCTCTTTGAAGAAGTAAACTACAAAAATATTTTAGAGAGAGAGTAAATGGGCAGTGAAGGAGAATGAAATTCGCTCCCCTTAACATTGAGGGGGAGCCTTCCTTTTATAGGAGTAGCTGGAGCATCTACGAAGGAATATTATCTTATTCCTCCATTTTATTAAACAGATCCGGTTTGACTGTTCTTCGTAAATAATAAGGAAATATGGGCCGAGCCACGTATTATTTTCCATCGGGATAAAAAGTTTACAAAATTTACAAAAATACCTAATTGTACCTAAATCTTACTTTTCCCTAGGAAAGGTACGGCTGGATGTATATGTAATTTGCCCCTAGATCTTACTTTCCCCTCTACCTGGCCCGGATCGCCTACTTCTTCTAATCCAAAACCCCGTCGTCCACGGCATCTCGCCATTGCCGGGAAAAGAAGCTTCACTCCAGGGTCCGCACCTTCCGCTTCTATCCGCCGCCCGCCAACACCACCGACGGCCGATTTCTCCCCAGGTTCGCTGTGTCCCGACCTTTATTTGTTTCCAGCGATTATCTATTAGCTTTTCTCATGATTGATACCCCGTACAATCTTAATTGGAATTTGTTGCTTGATCTCCCTTCTAAAGGAGGATTGTATGCTTGCCAATGCATGTTTTGAACATTTACCTTAGATTCGCGTATTTTGCTACCGCAGTGGCACAAAAAAGGTCCCATAATTGAATTAGCACGGTTATTGAGAAGGTTGAATTTGTGTTTTCGAAAATGAATGTTTTAAAAATTTTATATTTCTAAACTACGTCTTTATATAAACTCAATTATATGAAATTTATGTTATAATTAAATACGGAGTATATTTTTTCACAATTTGTGGTTAAAGTGACCTAAAAAAGTCCAACTAGGATGATAGTTTTGAGACTGAGGGAGTATTAGACACAGAAAACTTTGCATAAATGCGAAGTGGATTTTTTTTGGATAGGCAGAAAAGGAATGTGGAACCTTTGTACGGGAGTATATTTTTATTTTACTTGTTTGACTAGTTATTCATGGTAAAATAACGTGTGTGTTGCATGGAATGTACTGATTAAACAGCACAAAACGTGATTACAAACCAAAATCAGGCTGAATTGTAGTTAATCCCTTTCCAGTTCTGCAACCCTAATCAAACTGTAACAAAACTGATCTTCAAGTGAATGCTTTCAATTTCTATTTGGTTCCATGTTTCAAAACCGACATAAACGTAATCTGAACCTGAAAAATCGGACCAGAAACTGGTATACTCATCGCTAGCTCTAGTTTTTTTACCAGGCCTTGGAGTAGATAGCAATTTTGCTATTATCACATTGGGAATATGGTTACTTTTGTGGGGAGTGGGGTCAGGAGTTGCACTTCATGTAGTTAAGGGATTAAAAAGATAATATGGAGTCACGGTTAACAAACATGCCACTAGATGCCAAAGCCAAAAAAATATGCTAGGATATTATAACTAAATAATTACTGCTCAACAGAAAAAATGCTATTTGGCGGACGCTCAAGAAGAATTTTAGTTTAATAGTCAGCACATTTGTTACTTTCTTGCAAGACCTTGTGAACTCCCAAAAACTATATATAGGGTTACTATCATACATTTATTGTTGATAAGGAGCTGCTTCCTATTTTCTTGACTGTTGCCACTGACTTAACCTCGTGCCTTCAACTGTTCGTTGTGTATTAATGAAGTCTTCTTCCTCTTTTGATCTGTGTAAATTTGATCTGGTCAGATGGCATTAAGAGGTGTTTGGCAACTTCAGAAGCTGGTGGTCAGCTATTCTGACTGGGGAGGCAGTAGCAGGGGTTTAAGGTTTGTACTTACTTTGTTATTCCTATGGAATTTAATTAAAGTGTTACTGACTGTCCATTTGGTACACGAAAGTGACGAAATTAAAATTGAATTGAGAGCCAAAATTCGATGAAATTTATTTGGATGGCCATTCCAATTCATTTTTAGCACTACCAATTCCAAATCCGCATATTTTTGTGTCACTAAACACCAGAATTGGAATTATAGGACTATTAACCGAATGGATTATCAATGTATTAGGGCATTTATGGAGTCTCATCTGCCAGCATTCAAGGACATCAATCCTCAGCTGGAAGTGGTAACCGAGCTGAATCGCGGGCAACATCCATACTTGAAGGGATTATACAGTAAGACATTCCACCCCTACCCCCCTCATATACTGGTACTGAGAATGTGAGTGATAATTATGTGATCTTGGAGTATTCATATAAAATCTCGAATTTCCGGGGAGTATTTGTATGAAATTTTCCATTGATATAAAAACATAAGGTAGTGTTTGTGAACTAGTATTTCATTTCAATTCCAAAATTTGAATTCTTAAACTTCAAATGAAAAAAGGGCAGGAATTTGACTCAAATCCAAAATTTTTAAGTTTCCCAAACATGAAATTTGAGTAAGTCTGAATTTTAACCCAAATCCAAGTTCCCAAACACACCACCTTAAAAGAATATGAATTTTTAACTGTAAATCAGCACCTCTTTGAGCATAATTTGCAGAATGTTACCTTGTGTCCATGAAAAAATGCATTATACAAGATATACAACAACTCTAAGGGTATGAAATATGATGGCTCAAGAAAGCAAGAATATATGCACAAAGAGCTTATGCATTGGCATCTGAAAACCTGCAAGAGTTGTAAAACTAATGTGAAGCCACTAAAACTCATACTGGCTTTCTTGGATGATCAGAAAACAAGAATGAGCGTGTTGTCTCGGTTAAAAACTTGACCCCGGAAGAAATTCTGTTACAAGCAACAAGGCTAAGGAATTCACTGGGGAGAAAGGTGGTGAAGATGAAGACTAGACATGTCACCAAACACCCAAGTGTCCAAGGCACCTGGACTACAGATTTGAAGATGTAAGACCAATGTTTCAAGGTACGATAATGACTATTTTGCCCCNAAACTAATGTGAAGCCACTAAAACTCATACTGGCTTTCTTGGATGATCAGAAAACAAGAATGAGCGTGTTGTCTCGGTTAAAAACTTGACCCCGGAAGAAATTCTGTTACAAGCAACAAGGCTAAGGAATTCACTGGGGAGAAAGGTGGTGAAGATGAAGACTAGACATGTCACCAAACACCCAAGTGTCCAAGGCACCTGGACTACAGATTTGAAGATGTAAGACCAATGTTTCAAGGTACGATAATGACTATTTTGCCCCCCCCCCCCCCGTTTGAGTGCAAAACTCGATAAGATCTATCTATGTGATCTAAACCTGCTCTTTTTTTTTTCTCGACTCGTATTTATTATGAAACTACTATCTTTACACTCAATTTTAGGTGTGAACAGCTTTTGTGATTTGCATATTGATTTGATTTTAACTTTCATTTGGTTAAGACTTGAGTGATAATTTTCCACACTCGGAGAAATAATGGTGAATGACTTGATATCTAATAATGAATCGTCACATTAATACATTGTTATATATACAGATGAAGCCACAAAATACAATTAGAAACAGTTTTACGCGTACCAGAAACACTAGAAACAACTAGGCATATTATTATTATTGCATCATATGATTAGGCGGACAAGCAACCAACACCATATCTAGTGTTGGGGAAGACGAGAAAGAGTCCACTGCAAATAATCCCCACCATCAACGGGAAGCTCTGCATCACTTCGTCCATCTCTTTCCCATGGCCGGGGAACAGGCAGTCCGTCACGCGGTGGTCGGAGAACGCGATCGCCGCGAAGACCACCACGGACATCACGGCGTGCACCAAGTCGGAGACCCCGACCTTGTAGCGGTCGTCCTTGGGGACTTCCACCCCCGGGTCGCTCTTGAACACCGCCAGCCCCCGCGGCGTGACGAGGCCGTAGTAGACTTTGCGGCCATCGGGGCCGCCGCGGAAGCTGTCGGTGAAGTGGAAGAGGAAGCAGGAGAGGGCGCAGATGGAGAGGAGGGAGAGGATCATGGTGGTGCTCACGGAGGAGCACTGCCCCTTGCCGTACACGCTGGGGAGGACCATCTCGAACGTCAGCAGCGTCCCCGTCGGCAGGAAGTTCACCAGCAGCGATGTCTTCGAGAGTGTTTTCTGTACCCCCGCCGCAACCGCCCGCTTCTTCCGGCCTCCCGTCGGCGCCTCCGCCGCTGGAAAGGGTTGGTCGTTCTGTATTTTGATCCCGACTTCTTCTCCTTGTTGGTGCTCCATTGTCGCATGAGAGAAATTAAGTAGTTACTCCGATGATGAATGATAATAATACTGATAATTGTGGAAAATGGAATGCAGGGAAGGAGATTTGATATATTTATTTATAATTGTCGAGATAATTAATCGCAAACTGAAATTTTGAATTTGTAAAAGATTGAGTAACCGCCAGACAGTTGAATGGGAAGGGGAAGTCTCAACCGAATGTGCGTTGTGAAATGAAAATGAAAATGGTTACTCCCACTTGTATAACTGTAATAAAAAACGAAAATATAATTTCAAAAAATAAATCCTATAGAGAGGATTAATTAGCTTACTATAATTTAGGAAAAATTATCTTAAACAATTCCACCTATTCGTGCTCTCCTAAAAATAATCTCATTTTCATAGTCACAAAAAAAAATCTCATCTTTCTGCATGTGTGTGAGTTTGGGGTTGTCGTTAAGAAACTAATGGCTACTTAACGGATTTTTTGAAAAATGCATTTTTTCGCAAATAAATGAAATGTGTGATTATTTTAAATAAATTCTATTTTTTTTGTTTTTTTTGAATTTATAACCTTAAATTTAAATGTTTTTGAAAATATTTTTATAAATAACACCAAATTTAAGTATTTTTATTGAGTGACACTAATTATTTTTCTAATATTCGATAATCTAGTAATAACTATTTTTTCCACAATAATATTTCAAAATTTTTGAAATTGTACAATAAATTATTCTACACGATGGAAATTAGTTCATCCTTACAAATAATTTTATTTTGAAAATGATCTTTAAACATAATTAAGACTTTTAGATATCACCTGCATTTCGTACTCAATAGTGTAGTCTTGGATTTTTAATTATCTCAGACACAATATTGATGCTATAAATTATGTTTTTAATTGAATTACATTCTCAAATCTCAAATTTTATTGTATTATGAATAAAAACACAACTAGACGAGAGTTGTGTCATAAAGAACTAATTAGAAATGTAAGGCTATGTTGTTGAGATATCATACTTGTTTCGTAATCAATAGTTTAGTTTTACATTTCTAATTATCTCATATACAATTCGCGTTCCTTAAATTATGTCCTTAATCAAATTACATTCTCTCATATTCTCATGAAATTTGAAAATTGGGATTGTAATATGCATAAGAACACAATTTTGGAAAAGAAAATAATGTCGGAAATAAATAGAATTGTAATGCTAAGATATTGAATACTCCCTCCGTCCCATGAAACATTTCCCGTTTCAAAAATGGCGCGCCTTTAAAATGAGTAATTTTGATATTATTTTCTAATTTTGCCTTTACTTTATAAAAGAGTAGGATGAGATGTATAGAATAGATTAATCATAATTAGAAAATAGCACTAAAATTACTCATTTTAAAGGCGCGCCATTTTTTGAAACGGGAAATGCTTCATGGGACGGCGGGAGTATTAAATAAGTGTTATCTTGATTAATTAGAAATGTTAATCATATTTAAGGATTATTTTCATTTGTAAGAATGATTTGAACAATAAAAATTAAAAAAAAAAAATAAAAAACAAAAATCGTATGTACCAAGACTAAAAATATATTTAACCTTGGTAGATTCTATATGTATAGTGTATGAACATAAATCATAGATTGGAATTCTATATTCCATCAATAGGGAATCAAATCACACACGCTTTATGAAAGAAACCACTCCATATATAATTTAATGGCTTAGAATGATCCATGGAAATTGCTTACAACTTGCATGGCACTTGCCTACCTTTTTTCCCCTCACTTTATTCCATCACTCTAATACTATATATACTCATATTTACATGTTATTATGATTATCTACCAAAACACACTAAAAAGAAATAAACAACTAACAAATATTACCTTCATCTCTCTCATTTCCTGAATTCGCCACTGATATCATGACTTTCTTCAACTTCCTGCAATTCCTCCAGCCCTCCCTCCTCGGCAACGCCGCCTCCGTCCCGGTGTCCCATCTCAAAGAGGTGCTCCAAAATCTCGGGATGGCGTGGGACGACGACGACGGGGACGAAACGGGTAGTTTTATTACGGTGAGTAGGGAAGAACTGGTGGCAATTGTGGGCCCAGACGAGGAGCCGAGCGCGGAGGAGGCGAAGCGGTGCTTCGACGTGTTCGACGAGGACGGGAACGGGTTCATAGAGGCTCGCGAGCTTCAGAGGGTTATGGCGTGTTTGGGGATGGAGGAAGGGCGGGAGCTGGAAGATTGCAAGAAGATGATTTTGGCTGTGGATGAGAATGGTGATGGGGTTGTTGATTTTCAAGAGTTTGCCAAACTCTTGCAGCTCTCTTTGAAGTGATTTACATTTCTTGCCCCTTCCATTTGCATTTATTCATAATCTATACTAGCTACTTGTGTATATGTTAAAGTCGAGTCATGTAAAATATTTAGAAATTTGTTAATTTATGTAAGTTAAATCTTGTAAAATATAAAGAAATAAACAAAGATAGTTACTCCGTATTTATGGACAAAGATGATGTTAATGCACTTATGACTTGGGTTTTGTTTTAAAGCAGTGTTTTCCATTTAATTCGACAAGAAACAAAACTTAAATGGCATGTAACATAATTCTTCTTTGAAAAAATTAAGGGACGTTTAATCCTCGAACTGATGATTTAACTATTTAAGTATGCTTTCATTACTCTAAGATAATTTAGTACATCTTTGTATTCACACTATGATTTTGTAATTACCACACTAACGATTTAGTTGTGCATATATTCCTTATTCATTCCTTTTACAGAAGGAAAAGAAGTAAAAATTTATTTAGTCGACTGAAAAAATGAGATATTTACTCTTTTACTCATAGTTTATTTAAAATGTTCTCAAGCGCACTAAAAAATATTCTCCACATCAAAATATCTCTTTATTTTGACTACTTCCACCAAATTAGATTAAAATTGGTAATCAATTAAATTAAAAATATATTAAATTAAATACTAGTATTAAAATAGTTGTCTTGAAAACAAATCTTAAAAAATTATTTGTATGCTCCACGGCAATTCAAGTGCGAGTAGTGAGTGTTTTCCATGTGTGCCACAATGGATTGTATTTTAATTTTGTACTCCGTATTTATTTTTAATATATTCAATTATTCAAATACAGCTTCAAACACTATCTTTCTATTGAGATTTAATTTTTAAGATTATATTTTTTAATGATTTATAATTAAAAAAATTGTGTTAGAATTCGTTACTCTAAGTCCCGTCGTTTTCAAAATTTCAGTTCAATTTTTTTCAATTTGTGTCACTTTCTCTTTTTTCAAAAAAATTGGGATTGAGCCGATTGACCCTACATTTGGTTCGAGGATTTATGTAGGAAAGAAAAGAAAATAATTTTCTAAAAGAATTTTGTTTTCCCCCCTCTTAATTCATATTGTCCTCATATTTTTTTTATATTTTCACTTTTCTTTTTCTCCACAACAAAAAAGATAGATTATTTTTCATTTCATTTTTTTCTTTCAAATTACTCGAACCTAACGTAGTGCCAACGTAAATACCGTATTATATTAAGAGTTAAATTTGGATAAAGTTGGGCTTAGATTTAGGACTTGTATGTCCTCTCCATGATTTGGATAATTTTGGGCTTTAAATTTTTATGGTGGGCTAACTTTTCCCTCATTCCTGGACCCTCATATGTCCTCTCCATGATTTGAACGTGTTGTGCAAATGTAAAAAATATAACATTGAAGGCAATTGGATCATCAGCCCATGGACTCATAACCAATGTTCTTTGGCGTGAAAAAAAAGCTCAGTGTTAAAAAAAATTGGAAAAAATCGAAGAAACTGAAAAAATTGAAAGAAATTAAAAAAAAACTAGAAACAACTAGAAAAAAATTTCAAAAAGTTATTTAAATGCATTTTATATTTCATTCTTATTATAATTGTTATTATTTTTTATTATTACTATTATTATAATTAATAGGGGGGTTCCGGAATCCACCACAAAAATATTTATATCACTCTCAATTAAATTTGCTAAATCTACACCAATATCAAAGCTATATTAATGGGTATATATATATTTAGCAAGTATAATAAAAATGTGTGAACATAGCTAATTCGTGGTGGATTTAGTAATACCATTATTATTACAGAGTATTGTTTTAATTATCATATATAATAGGTAAAGAAAGTGAATAAAATTCGACCACATAAATAGTGTACATGCCAGTTAATTAGAGACATATGGAGTAGTATAATTATTATATTTTAATTTAAAATATTTACATTTTCCCAGCTCAATTTAGATAAATAAAATATTTCTAATTTTTATATCCTTTAGTGTCATGTAAATGAAAAAACACCATGTTTTCTAATAAAATTGTACTATGTATTATTTATATTAAAAATGAAAAAAAATGAGTGTGAATTATAAAAAATAGTGATATTAGAAAAAATAAAAATTGAAAATTAAATTGTAGTTATGAGAGTAAAAATAACAATAACAACAACAATAAGAATAAGAATAGTAATAGTAAAAATAAGAGTAAATTCCATAAAAGGTCCCTAGTTATAGGTCGTTTTACATATTTAGTCCCTACATATCAAATATTACTTATTTAGTCCCTAATTATTATATTTATTTCCACGAATGGTCCTTTGTTAACATTTCTGTTAAAAACGTAGATAAAATTGTAGATTCATACTCCTTTCTCTCCTCAATTAAGTTTCCTCTTACCTTTCATACTCTTTCTTAAACTCGTCGCTGAGTTTGAAGCTCTAAATCTAAAACTGAAATGATCACTCCTCTCTAAAATCAAAACCAATAAACTTATGGACGAGTTTTATTGGTTAGTCTCAAGAAATTGCAAAGAAAATAAACATTAAAACTCATCCATGAAGGTTACTGGTTTTAAATTTGGGTTCCATCAATTCGACAAACAATTGAGAGAAGAATAACAATTTCGAATTTGGAAAGGAGTGCGAGAGGAGAAAAGAAGCTTAATTGAATAGAGAAATAGGTGTGAATTTACAATTTTATCCATGTTCTTAAGGAAATGTTAAAAAAGGAATATTTGTGAAAATGAATATAACAATTGGGGACTAAATAAGTAATATTTGATATGTAGGGACTAAATATGTAAAACGACCTATAACTGAGGACCTTTTATGGAATTTACTCTAAAAATAATACATAAAATACATATCATTTTTAGGGTCATTATTAGGAACAAAAGATAATGTGAACTACAACTGGGCTGACCTCAAAGCATAATTGGGCGAGCCCGCGAGCCCACCCTCCATATGATATTTTATATTGATTTTCACGGTTTTTTATTCAGTAGTTTGAATATGAATATTTTTGTTTGTTGGATAGGCATTTATTATAAAAATATACTCCGTAATATTTCAAAATAACATTTCAAAATTAAGTAATTGAAATTTAATACTCCATTCATTTCAAAGTATTTGTCGAGGTTTGATTTTTTACAATAAATTAAACCAGAATCAACCTTTAACATATAATTAAATAAATAAATATATAATATATTAATTAGATAAAATAATATTTTGAATATATATTCTACAAGATAAATCTAATGAAATTAAATACTCTCTCCATCCCTAAATAATTTACATATTTTACTCTGTACCATTCAACAATCACGAAAACATTTGTTTATTTGTGTGTTTTCATTGACTATTCAATGAAATAAAATATTCTTATCAGCTCTTATTTTGTAAAACTTTTGATGTACTTTATAAATATATGAACTTTATTTTTTATTTATTCATATAATCAATCTTTAAATAAAATAAATTAAAAAATTTAAGACTTTATTTTGTTTTAGGTAATAAGTAAATGATTTAGAGACGAAGATAGGGCCTGTTTGGGAGCAGCGTTAGAGATTAGCGGTAGCGTTTTAGATAAAATTTTAACGGTGCAGATTATTTTGAAAACGCTAAACGCTGCCCATAGATAGCCTTTTCAAAACGCTAACGCTAATCGCTAACACTATTCCCAAACAGGCCCTATATATACCAACATCCAATATCATTATCTTTTAATTAATGGTTAAGGTTTACTAATTTTAACTTCAAAAAAACAAATTTGATACTCCTTCCGTCCCAAAAAAATGGCATGTTATTGTTTACGAGATTTGAGTAAAGTTATTTTCAATTCAATTTATTTCAAAATATGAAAGAAATTAAAAAATAAAATTATATTTAAAAATTAGATTAAAAGTTTTAGAAAACAAGAGAACTTAGAGACTATCTGAGTGTTGCGTTTTTCGATGTGGAAACTCTAACCAAAACAACAAACTCAAAATTTTCCAACAATTTTTTAAGATTTTTCTATTTCAAAATGTTAAGATCTTAACGAGACAAATCAATACAGTTCTATGCTGATTAGAATTTTTTTTGATAAGTCTAAAAAAAAGTGTGATTTTTTTTAGAAGGGTTAATAAGATAAAAGGGAAAAATGAATTCCAAAGTGATTAAATAAGAGTCCCGTGAGAAAAAAGAATAATTAGAGGAACGGACATCCCCTAAATTGGGCGGCAGGGAAACAACTGTTAGGACAGTTTTGCATGCATTATTCGCATGTAAGCTTAGCAAGATTCTGCAGTACCCACCCCACACCCCACCCCACCCCCACCCCCACCCAGTCCCCTGTTTCTGCGACCACGCTTCGTAACCACACGTTCGATCGGGACCAGATTTTTTCAGGATGTTTTCCCACTTTCCCCTCAAGTGTCTGGTTTTGTTCTCCTTTTACCACTGTTCACATTCTTGATAGAGTTTTTGGAAACAGGGGAAGAAATGGGAAATTTTTTTAAAGATAAACAGACAAAAGATTATCGTTCTAACAGTGGGTAATGATTTTTTTCCCCTTTCTTGATTTGAAGGGGGGGTAATAAAGATGGGTTACAATGGGGAAAGATTTTGGCTTTTGTTATTTTCAGTGTTACCCAACTGCAGAGCTTTCACTGTTCATATAACTCTCAAGAGGTGAAAAGAAAAAAAAAGGGGGGGGGGGGGGGGTTCTTTACTGATTCTTGGAAAGAACATACATTTCCCTCTCTCGAAGAACCCATTTTCAGGTGTTCTTTTGTTCTTTTTAAACGGCTCCAACTCCGAGGAAGTCTATAAATGGATGGGAAATTGTCTGGTTACCGACGCTGTTGGTGCCCTTTCTGTCCTCCTCCTCCGCCACTGCCGGCGGAGATGGTGGCTGCTGTGGCGGTGGTAGAGGCCTTGCCGTGAAGAAATCTGTTGAGATGGTGGTGGAACAGGGAAAGTTTAAGTACTGTTGAGGAGGATAGCTCTGGCCATGGATCTGAGCTTTCCCCCAACATCTTCCCATGCCCACCATCTGGTTGTCAAATTGCCCTGCAGAGAGGAAAACTGCAATCTTTGAGATAAAATGTCCAAAATAACCCCATACAAAACTACCCTTCAAATGACTGGGGGGGACCTCCCAAAATGTGTTGGGCCATCCAATTCAATTATACGTACTCCAAGATAAACGGGAGTACTGCGTAGGTTGTTAGAATTGGGCCCAGCCAGCCTTCAAAAACAACTCCAGAGTTTAAAAAAGAAAAAAAAAAGAAAGTTAAGAGAAGGGCAAGAAAGTAATTCAAACCTGGGAAAGGATCAAAAGTAATTTGCTGAGATGAACATAATCCAGAAAACTGAGGAGGAATTGGGTGGCCATTGTTACTTGGGATTGCTTCTGCAGAGCCATAAACCATTCCGAATGGAAGAATGGGTGGCTTGCTGTGATTATTGACAGAACTGATATTATTGTTTTCTTCATCTGATCTTCTGTAAACAAGTTGCCCCATTTTTCTCCTTCTGTAAGCACTTGATTGCTCTCTATATTTTCTTGCCATTATGACATGCCAATGGTTCTTCACTGCATTGTCTGTTCTTCCTGGGAATAGCCTTGCAATCATGGCCCACTTGTTGCCATACAGTCTGTGAGCTGCCATTAGCCTCTCTTCTTCTTCTTCACTGAATGCTCTCCTGTTGATTCTTGGATCTAACTGGTTGAACCACCTCAGTCTACAACTCTTCCCTACAATCATTCAACAACACAAAAAGAGTAAAAATCAAATCTTTATTTCATAAAAATCTAATCTTTATTCAAAAAATCAAATATTTTTAAGAGTTTTTGTGATTTCTTACCTGATCTTCCTTCTAACTTCTCTGCTATGAGGTTCCAGTTTTGAGGGCCATAAATGGCTACAAGCTCCTTGAGCTTTGCATCTTCTGCAGGCCTCCAATGGCCTCTTGCGCAAAGCTTTGACTGCCCACTGCTCTCTGCTTCTTTATTACTGCCACTGTTAATATTATTGTGACTATTATTCTCTCCCACATGCATGGCACCATGATCTTGATCACTTAGAGTGGCATTGAGATCAAAGGTTTCACTATTTTCTCCAAACCCATCACTGGAACCAGAGGCCTTGCCCTCTTCCTGATCCACATCACTGTTCTGGTGATGTTGATGATGATGAGGAGGATCTTCCAAGTTCCCACCTTTCAAGAAAGATGGAAACACCCAAGAACCCAGTGTAGCAGTGTTCTTGGACTGAGGGCATTCTTGGAATAAATTTGTGACACCATTCTTGGGGTCAATAGAGAGGGAATTCATGTCTGCAAAAAACATTCCCATGGAAGCAGCACCAAACGGGGAAGAGGAGGAAGAAGAAGAAGAGGGAGTTGGAGAGCATTTTGGCTGTTGCTGGGTATATATGCACCTGCTGTTGGACATGGCTCACAGATTCATTCAATATTTTCACTGTTCTCACTATTCTTCAAACTCAGGTGGAAGAAATATAATCTTGAATGCCACTGAGCAAAAAAATAAACCAAGAGAATGAAGGAGAAAAGAAAAAAAAGAGAGGAGGAAAGAAAATTTCTCAAAGAATAATTTTTTTTGAATCTGTGTGGTGGAGTGGGGAGCTAGCTTGAAGGCTCTATTTATCTACCAATGTTGCCCCCACATTTAAAAACACAAAAATAAAAGCAAGGTTTTTTTTTTTAATTTTGGGAGAAAAGAAAAAAAAGGAGGTAGTGGGGTAATATAGGGTTTGCACGTGTGAGTTTGTGAGATGTTTGGTTTTGTAAGAGTTGGGAGGGGTAGGAGGGTTATAGGATGTCCCTCTTAGTATTGACAAGAAAGACCCTCCCTGCTAACCAGTCTTGTGCACATCTAGACACCACCTTTCTTTTCATTACTTTACATTGTGGAAATGAAGCAACAATCTTGTTCCACCACCCACCACTCACTCCTTTCTCCCTAATTCCTTCATTCCTTCTCTCAATTTTTACACACACACAAGGATAAAATTGTCAATAATTTTTATCTTTATGAAAGAAAAAATAGCTTTTTTTTAAAAGGATGAAAAAGGAAAATGAAATTTTTTTAGGAGATGGAAATAATATATAATAAAATATTGAAAATCAAATGCTAACAAAATGTTAATGGTGTTGTTATATCTATATCCATTTTAGCTAAATTTACTCTTTTTTTCAAAGAAGACTTTTAGATGAAACTCAACTTTTGAAGATATAAATAATCTATTTAACATAAAAGAAATGACTTTAGCAAAAAATTGGATTTAACAACACCCAAATTTAAATGCAACTATAATAATTAGTGTAGTAGTCTCTAGAGGACAGCTAAACCAGCAAAGAACAATATTGGTCAATGGTCAAAGTGCTTACTGGGCGGTCTGCAGAGTTAGAAATTTGAATCACGGCTCTGCCTTGTATTTGGCTCCCACATAGGCGAGATTAGTTTGAAAATCTATAAATCCAGACCGGTTGAAGTACATCCTGCAATTGTACTTTTCCATCATTTTGGAGGCCACGGGAGACATGGGACCTCTAGAGTGATGGTCCCACCTTTTGTTAAAAAAATGATGAGCAACATTTTTGAGGGGCCATCAGAATCGGTCGGACGATTACCTTAGACAAGGTTTATATATTTTTAATCACATGTTGACTGACAAAGCGTGAGCCTGCACCTGATACTTACAAATGCTAGTTATTTTTGGAACCAGGGAATCGAATTCAAGTATTGGAACTCATTGCCTTTGTCAACTGTAGAAACTATACCCATTTTGAGCCTTTAGTCATTGTTTGGATAAAAAGAGAAAATGAGGGGAAAGAAAATGGATGGAAAGAAAATATAGAGGAAAGAAAATGAAGAGAAAATGGGAAGGAGATTACTGTTGTTAGGATGAGTGGAAAATGAAGTGAAAATGTAAAAGGAAGGAAAATGTGATAAAACAAAAGAGACATTTTTGCCCTTGCTTTTTATTATTGAATATGATGGAATGGAGGGCAAAGCAATCAATTCACGTGTTTTCTCTTCAATGGGTAGATTTTCTCGCCACTTGAGAGGGGAAAAGTTTTTAGGTTGGCACCTTTGACAATTTCTTTCCTTCCCACATTTTCTTCCCTAAACAAACAAGTGAAATTTTATTGGAAATTGTGTTTTTTTCCCTTCCATTTTCTTTCTCTCTAAAATCACCCCATCCCAACATGGGGCTAGGCATACAAATAGGATAGGGATATACTTTTAGTGTAGTTCTAGCATTCTTCTTACTTTTTACAATAGCTAGTATAGATGAAATGTGTTAGGGAGGACACATAATCCTTTATATATTATATTTGAGAGTTTAACTCTCAGAATTTTGACATTTGTCATGCTGACGGGGATTTTTTTTGACACTTCATAAGTCATGTCATCCTATTGGACTTACTCAATATTTCAAACGAGTTGGATAATGATTCATTACTTTGGGCTTCTTTTATTTGGGCTACTCTGTGTGGAGTTCATCCGCAAGTCTGAATGAAAGCGAGACATCAGCGGCACTTTCCTTCGATTGCACCTCCCTGCGATATTCATCTTCGAATGGCTCCACCGCGAGATTTCAGAGAATATGTGATTGGAATTAATCTCTTTCCTTCTTCACGGTCCTTCTTCACGGAGATTCCAACGATCGGTACCAATTAAGAATAGGTAATTTTCCCTTTTCTTAAAAAATCATAATTGTTTTTTGGAATGATTAGCCTTCTTTCCTTCTTATGATGATTAGTCTCTGCGAAATTTGTTCTTCTTTCGAATTTTCCGGTTCAAATCTCTGGATTTTCTACCCTTATTGCTGTAAGTTTCCTTCTTGCGATTTATACCTAAAACATCTGATTAATTGACATGTCTTCCAAACCGATCCACCCTTGGTTGAAGATCAATCCATCAAGTGAATGCTGGAGAGTTTTGGTTCGTGTGATTCGACTGTACAAGATGCCAGTGTATAATGATGAGAAGATGACGAATTCGATTGAGATGATATTCATGGACGAACATGTAAGATTTGTACTCTTATTTGTATTTTGCATACAATATAAAATTTATGTTTAATAGGATTTCTTATAATTTTTTAGTGGCTAGAAGGTTATTTTGCTTTTACTTTCAAAACACAATTATACTAATCTGTATAAAAAACCAAAATTCTTCAATTGCCCATATTGAATAAATAAATGAAGAATGATAAGTCTGCTGTTCTTAAAGTATAATGAGTCTGCTTTCCTTGAAGCTTCTATTTTCAGCACCATAAAAAATAATTTTTTT